CACCAAGCACAGAAAGCCAGTTTGCAGAGCCACCAGGAGTGATTTACTTGGGCTCAGATCCCAGTAAGGTCCTTGTGGCCAGGATTTAACTTCTCTGTGCCTCAGTTTTCCCTGAAAATGGGGATAATATTAGATTCTAACACATGGTTATGATGACGGTTGGAAGAAGTCACTACTTGTAGAGCACTTAACACAATGTCTGGCACATAAGTGTCTGTGTTAGTGAATTGTCTCTTTTACAGTCCCTCTAATGTGGCAGCCATTCTGTACATGTTACTTCCTTTTCTCCTTAAGATTTTCATATATGGTCAGTATCTTCTTAATGAAAGGGTTGCTGAATCTGCTGAAAAAGCACACTTCGGAGTGTCAGCATGGTAGGAATTAGACCCAGAACCAGGAGAATTAAGTTGAATTTCAGTGATGTAGCCACTGATTTGCTCTGCCATTAATTTATAAAAGGCATCTACCTATCTGGAAAAGGTACTGAAATTGAGAGGAAAAATAAAAAATCTGGAAACTAGGGGTGCCTGGGTGGAGTCTGCCTTTGGCTCAGGTCATGATCCCAGGGTCCTGTGATCCAGCCCTGAGTCCGGCTCCCTGCTCAATGGGAAGCCTGCTTCTCCCTCTCCCACTCCCCCTGCTTGTGTTCCCTCTCTCGCTGTCTCTCTCTCTCTCCACCAAATAAATACAAAAAAGTCTTAGAAAAGAAACCTGGAAACTACAAAAGGGAAAGAAAAAAAGGAAGTGTTTTCTTTTAATTTTTTTATTCGAGAGTGATAGAGAGACAAACTGGGGGAGGAGCAGAGGGAGAAGCAGACTCCCCACAGAGCAAGGAGCTCTACAGGGGGCTGGATCCCTGGACCCAGGGATTGTGACCTGAGCCGAAGGCAAATGCTTAACCAACTGAGCCACCCAGGCATCCCAAGGAAGGAATTCTTATATCCTAAGTGAAGAGGTCAATAGGAGTTGTTTATCTGTTGTGCCATTATCTTCAGATCTCTCATTTTGTAACTCCACAGCTTTGTACCTTTGGTCTGCCTTTCTCCTCTTCCCTGCTGCCTCCGTGTTTGTTGATCCCCTGGCAAACCATTACCACTGCAGCCCATTGCAGGGTAAAGATGATTCTATCCTTCTTTTCAAAGAGGCTTTGTGTCCTTGGCCTGGCTAAGGCCTGTGCCTCTACAGTAAGCACTGATATCCCTGTTTTTAAAAGGTCAGGTTCACGGAGGTGTGATTTTGCATCTAGTAAAGGTGTTTGGGTATGCAGCTGAATTATAACAACTATACATTCCTGTACCCGACACTATCACCACAGACTATTTCCATCACCTGTACAGGTGCCTCTTGTTCTTTAGTAGTCAGTATCTTTACCCAAATCCCAGCAATGAGCAACCAGTGACTTGATTTTTGTCCCTGCAGTCTTTTTCCATTTCAACGATTTTAATAGGCATGCAGTGGTAACTCACTGTGATTTTGAACTGTATTTCCCTAACGACTTAATGATTCTAACATCTTTCATGTGCTTTTATTACCATTCAAATATCTTGGATGAAGTATCTTCCTATTTTTGTCCATTTTCACATTTGATTGTTTTCCTGTTATTGACTTTTGAGTGTTTTTAATATGTACTGCATACTAGTCCTTTATCAGGTTTGTATTTATAAATATTTTCTGCTTGGGACTTGTCTTCATTTTCTTAATGCTTTTTGAAGAAGAGCTTTTAATTTTGATACAGTTCAGTTTATTAATTTTTTCTTCAATGGATCATGCTTTTGATATTGTATCTGGGGTCTCTGCCCAACCCAAAGTTACAAAGATTTTTTTCTAATTTTTCTTCCAAAAGTTTCCTTAATTCTAGGTTTTACTTTTCAGTTCTATGATGCTTGTCAAGTAAATTTTGGTTTAGGGTGTGAGAATGGGTCAAAGTTATTAAAAATTTTTTTTGACACATGAATTTCCTATTGTTTCCAGCATCATTTGTTGAAAAGGCAAACCCTTTGCAACTTTGGGAAAAATCAATTGATCAAATGTGTTTGAGTCTATTTCTGGACTCTTCTGTTTCATTGATCTATGTGTCTATCCTTTTATCAATATACATGATGTTGATGACTAGAGCTATCTTAGAGTCTTTATTTTTTTCAAAGATTTTATTTATTTATTTGAAAGAGAGAGAGAGAGATCACAAGTAGGCAGAGATAGAGGGGGAAGCAGGCTCCCTGCTGAGCAGAGTCAGGCCCAGGACTCAGTCCCAGGACCCTGAGATCATGACCTGAGCTGAAGGCAGAGGCTTAACCCACTGAGCCATCCAGGCACCTCTCCTTTTATATTTAGATCCTGATTTCTTTCAACAGTGTTTTGTATTTTTTCGTGTATAGATCTTGGACCTGTTTGTTAGATTTATATCAAAGTATATGATTTTATTTTGGTGTTAATATAAAAGATGACACTTTCAAATTTCAATTACTTTTTATTCAAAAAATATATTAATAAAATTGATTCTATAAATTGTTGACTGCTTATCCTGCAACCAGGCTAAAATCAATGTTTCTAGCAGCTTTTTGGTAGTGTGTGTGTGTGTGTTGTGTGTGTTTCTTTATAGACAGTCATGTCATCTGCAAATAGTGACAACTTTATTTCTTCTTTTCCCATTTGTATGTACCCCCCACCACTTTTTTTTGTATTATTGGACTAGCTAGGGCCACCAGTATGATGATGAATGGAAGAGGTGAGAATACACGTCCTTGCCTTGTTCTAGATCTCAGAAAGTGTTTCACTTTAGTCTTTCACTATTAAAGATGATGCAAGCTATAAATTATTTGTGCACAAACTTTGTGAATTTGAGGAAGTTTTTAAAAATTCCTTTCTTAATTCTCAGTTTGCTGAGTTTTTAAAAAAGTTTTAAAAAGATTTTATTTATTTATTTGACAGACAGAGATCACAAGTAGGCAGAGAGGCAGGCAGAGAGAGAGAGAGAGGAGGAAGCAGGCTTCCCGTCGAGCAAAGAGCCTGATGATGCAAGTCTCAATTCCAGGACCCTGGGATCATGACTGAAGCCGAAGGCAGAGGCTTTAACCCACTGAGCCACCCAGGGTCCCCATGCTGAGAGTTGTTGTTATGAATGTTAGTTGAATTTTGTCAATTACTTTTTCCGTATTCATTGAGATCATCATATTTTTTTTCTTTTGTTTCTTGATATGATGAAGTACATTGATTTTCTAATGTTGAACTAATTTTTCAATCCCAAGATTTGTTAATATTTTATTAGGATTTTTTTTCACCTATGTCCATCAAGGATATAAGTTTGTAATTTTTTTTCTTGTATATATATATTTTTTTCTGGTTTTGGTGTCAGGATAATGCTGTCTCATAAAATGAACTGGGAGGAATTCTCTCATCTTAATCGTCTGAAAGAATGTATAAAATTGATACTATTAAATGTTTTATACAGTGTGCCAGTGAAACTATCTGCGTCTGTAGTCATCTTTGTGATAAGGTTTTTAACTACAAATTCAATTGCTTTAATAGATACAGAACTATTCAGGTTATTTATTTTCTTTTCTCAAATAAGCTTTGTTAATTTGTACCTTTTAAGGATTTGGCCATTCATCCACCTTGTCACATTTATGGTGATAAAGTTATTAATATAACTTTGATATCCTTTTTGTTCTGTAGAATCTATAGATGTCTCTCGCTAGTTCCTGATTGTAATTTTCATCTTCCCCCACCTTTTTGGATCAGACTAATAGAAGCTTATCAGTTTTAATGGCCATCTCAAAGGATGAATTTTTCATTTCATTGATTTTTCTCTATTTTTTTGTTTTTAATGTTCTTAACTTCAGCTTATTATTATTTCCTTTCTTCTGCCTGTGTTGGATTTAATTGGCTCTTTTACTAGTACATACTATTTTAATTTATTTATTTATTATTATTATTTTTTAAAAGATTTTATTTATTTATTTGACAGAGAGAAATCACAAGTAGGCAGAGAGGCAGGCAGGCAGAGAGAGAGGAGGAAGCAGGCTCCCTGCTGAGCAGAAAGCCCGATGCGGGGCTCGAACCCAGGACCTGGGATCATGACCTGAGCCGAAGGCAGTGGCTTAACCCACTGAACCACCCAGGTGCCCCCTATTTTTATTTTTTAAAAGCAACTTTATTGAGGTAATTTACATATCATAATATTTACTGATTCTCAGTGTGTAATAGTTTTTGGCATACTTACGAAGTTATACAACCATCACCACAGTCTAATGATAGGACAGTCCCATCATCACAAAGGGAAACCATGCCCATTAGAAGCCACTACCCATTCTTTTCTCCCCTTCCCATCCTAAAACAACTACCAATCTATCTCCTGTCTCTGTAGACTTGCCCATTCTGAAAAATTTCACATAAATTGTATCATAAAGATGTGATCTTCTGCATCTCATTTCTTTCACTTGGTTCATCTGCACTGTAGCATGCATCAGTAGTTCATCCTTTTTTTTGCTGAATAATATTCCATTTTATGGATATACCACATTTTGCTTATTCATTCATCTTTTTTTTTTGGATGGGTACACAGGAATTTTTATTATACTATTTTTGTGTGGCTCAAAAATTACACAAGAAAAGTTTTTTGAAATTGTGTAAATAAAGGGAAACATACAGATAAGTTTTAGCACTTCTGGGGGCTTGAGAGTATTCTCTCATTCACTCTATTGTCTGGTATAGAGAAGGTGGTCAGTTTAACAACATGAAACAAAACAAAACAGAAAAAAGCAATCAGCTTTTATTGACCAGTAAGACCCCTCTTACTGGTCAAGGTATTAATTCCCACCACAGCTTCATGCCCGATCACCTGTCTCTTTTACACATATGCAGTCTTACACTTTTCCAACAAGTATTTATTATTAGTTAGGCCATGGTTCAGAACCCCAGGGTGGGGATCACCATGAACCCAGGTCCCCCTTCACCACCCTGGGAGAGGGATGGAGGACAGAGGAGAGGTGGGAGGGCCCAGTTCAGATCTTCCCAGAAAATGTGCCTTCTTCCTGGCAGTTGTCCCAGGCCGACACCCAGGATATGGGGCAGAGGGACTTGTACACACACTGGTACCATTCACACACGAAGATATCGCCCCCTTTAGCAGTCATTACCTTCTCACAGTGGTGGAAGTCCAGGTAGTTCTGCCAGCAGTTCCTGGTCTGGTTCTGGTTGGGGATGGGGCTGTCAAAAGGGGCAGTCTGGTAGTTCTTGATTTTGGTCTTGATGTCTTCTGCCATGGTGCTGACTCTAAACACAGCACAGCAGCACCTTACAGCTCAATGTGACCCTCAGCCTCATTCATCTGTTGATGGACATTTGGGTTGACTTCACCTTTTTGGCTCTTGTGAATTATGTCACTATGAATGTTGGTGTGCAAGTATCTGGTTCAGTCTCAGCTTTCATTTTTTTGGGGGGGGGTTGCGTACCTACAAGTAGAATTGCTGGATCATATGATAATTCTTTAAATTTTGAGGAACCACCAAACTGTTTTCCAAAAATGATTTTTTTTAGATGTAAAAACACCTCATATATGCAAGGCACTGTGCAAAGAATTTTCAAATATTCATTTATTCTATTGAACCTTCAAATGCTTGTTTATCCAACACCTCCTAAGTACTGGACCCTGAGTATGCCGTGCTGAATCAAACAAAATCTTGCCTTCCCGCAGTTTAGTCTGATTGTTAGAGATACTCAAGCAAATGGATTTTACATGGTAATGGTAATAAATGCTGGAAATGAGTTTTATGTGGAACAATGAGAGCATAGAAAAGGAATTTAATTTCATTGGGGAGGTCAGGGAAAGCATTCACAATGGTGTGTGTATGACTACTGCCTCTGTCTAGTTCCAGAGCATTTTCATCACTCCAAAAGGAAACCTGCACCCATTAAGCAGTCACTATCCATTCTCCCTGTCCCTGGCAACCAACAGTCTTTCTATCACTATGGAATGATCTATTCTGGATATGTCCTATAAATGAAATCATACAATATGTGGTCTTTTGTGCCTGGCTTCTTTCACTTAGCATAAGGCTTCCAAAGTTTATTCAGGTCGTAGCATATATCAAACCTCATTCCTCTTTATGGCTGACTGATATTCCACTATACGTATATACCACAATTTTTTTTAAAGATTTTATCTATTTATTTGACAGACAGAGATCACAAGTAGGCAGAGAGGCAGGCAGAGAGAGAGGGGGAAGCAGGCTCCCCGCTGAGCAGAGAGCTCAATGTGGGGCTCAATCCCAGGACTCTGGGATCATGACCTGAGCTGAAGGCAGTGGCTTTAACCCACTGAGCCACACAGGCCCCCCTATACCACAATTTATTTATCCATTCATCTGCTGATGAACATTTGGGCTATTTCCACCTTTTGGCTATTGTGGTTAGTGCTGCTTTGAACATTCATGTGTAAGGATTTGTTTGTCTGTTTGGTGGTTTTCTTGGGTATATACCTAAGAGATGAATTGCTGGGTCATCTGTTAATTCTATGTTTAACTTTTTGAGAAAATGGCAAACTGTTGTCCACATTCGCTGTACCATTTTACATTCCCACAAGCCATGTACCAGGTTTCCAATTTTCCGCATCCTTGCCAAGACTGTTATTGTCCATTTTAAAATTTATTTATTTATTTATTTGTTATTTTTTTTTATTGTAGTCTTTCTAGTGAGTGTGACATAATCTCTGATTGTGGTTTTGATGTGCATTTCCCTAATACCTAGTGATGGTAATCATCACCTTCATTAGTTTATTTACCACATATATTTCTTCTTTGGAGAAATACCTATTCATGTCCTTTGCCAATTTTAAAAAATTGTCTCTTTACTGTTGACTTGTAGCAGTTTAAAAAAAATCTTTTTATTTATTTTTAAAATTTCTTTTCAGTGTTCCAGAATTCATTGTTTATGCACCACATCTGTGTTCCATGCAATATGTGCCCTCCATAATACCCACCACCAGGCTCACCCAACTTCCTACCCCCTGCCCCTCCAAAACCCTTGGTTAGTTCCTCAGAGTCCACAGTCTCTCTGGTTTCTCTCCCTCTCCAATTTCCCCTAACTCACTTCTCTCCATCTCCCAATGTCCTCCATGTTATTCCCTATGCTCCACAAGTAAGCGAAACCCTATGATAACTGACTCTCTCTGCTCGACTTATTTCACTCAGCATAATCTCTTCCAGTTGTAATAGTTTTTATACACTGAAGATACAAATCCTTATTAGATATGTGATTTGCAAATGTTTTCTCTCATTCTGTGGGCTGATGTTTCACTGTTTTGAGCATATCCCTCCATGCACAAAAGTTTTTAATTTTGCTGAAGTCCAAATTATCTATTTTTGTTGTTGTGTTTTGGTGTCATATCTAATGATTTCCTAATCTGAGATCATGAAGATTTAATCATAGGTTTTCTTCTATGAGTTTTATAGTTTTGGTTTTTACATTTAGGTATTTGACTTACTTCACGCTAACATGGGAGTCCTTCTTTATTCATGTGGGTTTCAGTCACCTCAACACCATTCATTGACATGAGTATTTTCCCCACTGAACTGTCTTGACATCTTTGTTGAAAATCAATTGACTGTAAGTGCAAAGGTTTATTTCTGGCTTCTGAATTCTATTCCATTAAGCTACATGCATAATTTGGTGCTAATACCACACAGTCTTAATTACTATAATTTTATAGTAAGGTTTGAAGTCCAGAAATTTCAACTTTTTTCCTTTTCAAGGTTGTTTGGGCTCTTCTGAGTCCCTTCTATTTCCATATGCATTTGAAAACTGCTTGTCAATTTCTGCAAAAAGACAGCTTGGATTTTGATAGCAATTGCATTAAATTTGTAGATCAATTCGGTAACTATTTCCACTTTAACAATATTAAAACTTCTAATCCATGAATGTGGAATGTCTTTTATTTAAATCTTCTTTAATTCCTTTTCATATTTTGTACGAGTTTTATTTTTTTGATAAATTTATTCCCAAGTATCCTGCTATTTTTAAAGCCATAGTAAATTAAATTGTTTTCTTAATTTCACTGTTGAATTGTTTATTGGTAGTGTTTAGAGAAACATATGATCTTTGAATATTGCTCTTGTTATCTTATAAGCTTGCTGAATTCATTCATTAACTGATTTGTTGTCGTGGACTTGTTTTGGATTTTCTTTTTTTTTTTTTTTCAAGATTTATTTATTTATTTGAGAGAAAGAGAGAATATGAGTTGGGGGAAAGGCAGAGGGAGAGAGAGAGAGAGAATCTCAAGCAGATTCTATACTGAGCAAGGATCCCAATGTGGAGCTCTATCTCATGACCCTGAGATCATAACCTGAATCAAAAGCTTAACTGACTGAGCCACCTAGGCACCTCTGGATTTTCTATATACAGGATGATATCCTTTATGAATAGTTTGCCTTCTCTTTACAAATTGGATGCCTTGTGTTTCTTCTTTTTCTCTTTCTTTCTTTCTTCCCTCTCCCCTCCCTCCTTTTTTTCTCTTTCATTCTCTCTCTCCCTCCCTTCCTCCCTTCCTCCCTTCCTTCCCCCCTTTCTTCCCTTCCTCTTTCTTTCTTTCTTTCTTTCTTTCTTTCTTTCTTTCTTTCTTTCTTTCTTTCTTTCTTTCTCTCCCTAATTGTCCTTACTACAACTTCCAGGACAATGTTGAACAGCAGCACTGGATACAGTCAGCCTTGGTCCCGGTCATGAGTAAAGCTTTTAATCTTTTCATCATTGACAACAAATGTGGATTTTTTATACATGCTCTCTATTAAGTTGAGGAAATCTCTGTTTCTATTTTGTTGAATTTTTAAAAAAATCATGAATGAGTGTTGGACTTATCATCTTTTATCATGAATGGGTGTTGGATTTTGCCAAATGCTCTTTCTGTTCTTTGAGATGATCATGTGGTTTTTGTCATTCATTCTTTCAAAGGTATATCACTTTGATTTTCAAATATATTTAGCAAACCTTGTATATCTGGGATAAATTTCACTTGGTCATAGCATATAATCCTTCTTATATATTGTAGGATTTAGTTTGCTAGTATTTTGTTGATTATTTTTACATACATAATTATATTTGTCTGATTCTTTTTAATGTTTTGATCTTGTTTAGTATTAGTGTAATACCGGGGAAATGGAATGATTTGAAAGTGCTCTTTCTTGGGGCACCTGGGTAGCCCGGGGTGGCTACCTTCAGCTCAGGTCATCATCCCAGGGTCCTGGGATCGAGCTCTGTGTTGGTCTCTCTGCTCCATGGAAAGCCTGCTTCTCCCTATCCCTCTGCCTGTTGCTCTGCCTATTTATGCTTTCTATCTCTCTGTCAAATAAGTAAATAAAAACTTAAAAAAAAAAGTGCTCTTCCTCCCCACCCACCCCCTTGAAAGAATTCGCTACTGAAGTCATCTGATTCTGGACTTCTCTTTGTGGGAAGTTTTTAAATTAAATTAAAATTAAATTAAATTAAGTAATTTATTTGGAAGTTTAAAAAATTATTTATTTATTCTCTACCTGTTAGACATCTTTCCAAGTTTTCTATTCTTTTTGAATCCACTTTGGTAGTTTGTACCTTCCTAGCGGGTTACCTAATTTGTTGGCATACTACTGTTTACAGTGTTCTCTTACAATCTTTTTTATTTTGGAAGGTTGGTATTAATGTCTCCTATTCATTACTGATTTAGTAATTTGCTCTGCATGTGGCAAATATTACCTTTTCTATTATTTTAAGTAATATTATTTAAGTAATCTCTATGCCCAACATGGGGCTCAAACTCCTGACCCAAAGATGAAGAGTCAAATGCTCTACTGACTGTGCAAGCCAGGTGCCCCTCATTTTAAAATCAAGACATTTTCCAGTGTATAATGCATTTAAAACGAGAATAGTAGACATACTACATGCAATGCCATAAAATTGCATCCATCCAGTTTGTTAAAGTGTAAGAATTCTATACTTTTTCTTGTGTACTTCCTACCAGTCTTTAAACTTTTTCTTAGCAATACCTTTTCACACAGAAGCTTATTGGCCTTTCTCTTCTCTGCCTCCAGTATTATGTAACATCAAGTCATCACTCAAAGATGATTTAATAATACAAGACCAGAGGTCTCAAGGGCCAAAGACTTACAACATAGTAGGTGTTACAATGAGTAAGTTGTTTATCTTGAGCAGAAAGAATGACTGTGGTCCAGGGAAGTTCTTAGGGGAGGTGGATCTCTTTTTATTGCCTCTCCAGTGTGTAAGTAGGGACAATTCCTCAGGTAAGAGCTGCCCCAGAAATAGGTCATGGTTATCATTCTTGTTCCATGG